CGATGGTAAATCTTTTAAATTAAAATTACTAAAAACTAACAGCCTTCACTTTGACTAGTTCCACATTATGTTAGACAAAAAATGTGCACAGCATGTAGGCTGCAGAAAAACAGTCAGACTAGCATAAAAAAAAAGAAATAAAATAACAACGGCATCACTTTGTTCGTTATGACACAGAGGTTGCTTATATTTTAAATATAAAAAGTGAGTATTTTTAAGGCTATTATTCTTCAGTTTTCTCTAAAAACATATTGTTCCGTTTGAAAATGTAGGTTAAATTCAATGGATAAATAACCTGGTCGATGACACCCGAGACTGTCTGAAGTTCTACAAGAAGCATTTAATCTGTAGTCATAACACAGCTGCCTGAAGAGCTTTGGTCAGTCTCAAAGTAGTATTTGTTCATGAGTTATTTGCACTGATTAGTGTTGCTTTAAAACTAAAGGTGGAAATGAAAAGATTCAGTCGAACACAAAAACAGCTGAACACACTAGTTCTTCTTTTTCTTTCGGCTTTGTCCCTTTTTCAGGGGTTGCCACAGCAAATCATTGATTTCCATCTCTCCCTGTTCTCTGTATCTTCTACTCTGACTCCAACTACCTGCATGTCCTCCCTCACTGCATCCATATATCTCCTCTTTGGCCTTCCTCTCTTTCTCCTACCTGGTAGCTCCATCTCTAACATTCTTCTACCAATGTATCCACTGTCCCTCCTCTGCACATGTCCAAACCATCTCAATCTGGCTTCTCTAGCTTTTTCTCCAAACCTTCCTGTCTGTGTTGTCCCTCTAATGACCTCATTCCTGACCCTGTCCATTCTTGTCACTCCTAAAGAGAATCTTAGCATCTTTAACTCTGCCACCTCCAGCTCCTCCTCCTGTCTTCTGCCTATTGCTACTGTCTCTAAACCATACATCATGGCTGGTCTCACCACTGTCCTGTAAACCTTTCCCTTCACCTTAGCTGACACTCTTCTGCCACCGATCACTCCTGACACTTTTCTCCAGCTGTTCCATCCTGCCTGTACTCTATTCTTCACCTCTCTTCCACAGTCTCCGCTGCTCTGAACAGTTGATCCTAAGTACCTAAACTCCTGCACCTTCACCACCTCTGCTCCTTGTAGCCTCACTATTTCACTGTTCTGCCTTTCGTTTACACACATGTACTCTGTCTTGCTGCGACTGACCTTCATTCCTCTTCTTTCTAGTGCAAACCTCCACCTCTCTAGGTTCTCTTCTAGCTGCTGCCTACTCTCACTACAGATCACAATGTCATCTGCAAACATCATAGTCCATGGGGACTCCTGTCTGACCTCATCTGTCAATCTGTCCATCACCACAGCAAACAAGAAGGGGCTCAGGGCCGATCCTTGATGTAGTCCCACCTCCACTTTGAAGTCTTCTGTCCTCCCAACAGCGCACCTCACTACTGTTGTACTATTCTCATACATGTCCTGCACCAAACTAACATACTTCTCTGCCACTCCTGACTTCCTCATACAAAACCACAATTCCTCCCTTGGCACTTTGTCATATGCCTTTTCTAGATCTACAAATACACAATGCAGCTCCTTCTGACCTTCCCTGTACTTCTCCATCAACATCCTCAAGGCAAATATTGCATCTGTGGTACTCTTCCTAGGCATGAAACCATACTGTTGTTCACAAATCTCCACTTCCTGCCTCAACCTAGCTTCAACTACTCGTTCCCAAATCTTCATTGTATGGCTCATCAACTTTATCCCTCTGTAGTTGTTACAACTCTGTGCATCACCCTTCTTATGAATTGGCACCAGAACACTTTTTCTCCACTCATCAGGCATCTTGCCAGTCTCTAAAATTCTGTTAAACAAACCAGTCAGGAAATTTACTGCCACTTCTCCTAAACACTTCCATACTTCCACTGGTATGTCATCAGGACCAACTGACTTTCCACTCTTCATCCTCTTCAGGGCTTTTCTAACTTCATCCTTTCTAACCTGATCTACCTTCTTCCTACTAGTCTCTGGCTCCTCGTTTCTACTTTCCCTTTCATTTTCCTCATTTAACAACTCCTCAAAGTATTCCTTCCATCTTCTCAGCACACTTTCCTCACTTGTGATCACATTCCCCTCTCTGTCCTTAATCAACCTCACCTGCTGCACATCCTTCCCAGCTTGATTTCTCTGTCTCGCCAATCTATACAACTCCTTTTCTCCTTCCTTTGTTTCCAAACTCTCATACAACTCCTCATATGCCTTTTGTTTGGCCTTGGCCACTTCCCTCTTCACCTCCCTTGTCCTCTCTTTGTACTCCAGTCTGTTCTCTTCTGTTCTGTCACTGTCCCATCTCTTCTTCGCTAATCTCTTTCTCTGCACACTCTCCTGGATCTCCTCATTCCACCACCAGGTCTCTTTGTCCTCCTTTCTCTGCCCAGAGGACATACCTAGCACCTTCCTACCTGTCTCCCTCATCACTGCAGCTGTAGTCTCCCAATCATCTGGGAATATCTCAACACTACCCAGAACTGCCCTTACTTCCTTCCTGAAGTCTTCACAACATGTCTCTTTCCTTAGTTTCCACCACTTGATCTTCTGCTCTGTCTTCACTCTCTTCCTTTTTGTCACCTCCATCGTCATTTTACACACTACCATCCGATGTTGTTTGGCTACACTCTCACCTGCCACCACCTTACAGTCTCTAATCTCCCTCAGATTACATCTTCTACATAGAATATAATCTATCTGTGTGGACCTGCCTCCACTCTTGTAAGTCACCCTATGTTCCTCTTTCTTTTGGAAATATGTGTTTACCACAGCCATTTCCATTCTCTTTGCAAAATCTACCACTGCCTGTCCTTCTACGTTTCTCTCCCTAACACCAAACCTGCCTATCACTTCCTCATCTCCTCTGTTCCCTTCCCCTACATGACCATTTAGGTCTGCTCCAATCACCACTCTCTCTCTCCTGGGGATACTCTCTACCATCCAATCTAGCTCCTTCCAGAACTTCTCCTTTTCTTCCAACTCACAGCCCACCTGTGGGGCATAACCACTAACAACATTAATCATCTCTCCTTCTACTTCTACCTTCACACACATCAACCTGTCTGACTCTCTTTTCACCTCTACCACATTTCTTACATATTCTTCCTTTAGGATCACCCCTACTCCATTTCTCTTCCCATCTGAACCATGATAAAACAGTTTGTAGCCTCCTCCAATGTTTCTAGCCTTACTGCCCTTCCACCTGGTCTCCTGCACACACAAAATATCTACTCTTCTTCTCTCCATCACATCAGCTATTTCTCTACTTTTCCCTGTCATTGTACCTACATTCAAAGATCCAAACTTCAGACTAACACTTCTATTCTTCACCTTTTCTCCTTTTCTCCTAACCAACGCCCTCCTCTTCTTCTCTGTCTCTCACTCTGACCAACAGCAGTCCAATTTCCATCAGTGCCCTGTTGGTCAACGGCACTGTTGGCTGTCATTGTTAACCCCGGCCCTCGCCTGATACGGTATGTAAACCGTTTTATTGATCTGCATATTTTATTTAGCTAAATGTTTTACGCCCCATGCCCTTCCTGACGCAACCCTCACCATTTATCCGCGCTTGGGACAAGCACTATAAACACGGCTTCGTGTACCCTAGTGGCTGGCTTGTTTTTAACTCCAAAAACAAGCCATAAATATATTATATGAATA